TGATATGTAACTTTTTAACTTTTTAAATAAATAACAAGATTTTTAATGTGTGTCTCCCTCAGGGTTGTTTAAAGTTTTTTTTCTCCCTCAAATATAAATAGTGGTAACTATATGTTTTGTATCTTCTAGCACCAACTGCTGTAAAGCAATGCTGCAAATAATGCTTGAATAAAAGTGGCTAAGCCAACAACAAAAGAAATACTTTTTATATTAGTTTTATAATTCTTACATTGGAGAGCTTTCCAAATTGCACTTGCATTTAAACAGAACTGTTGCAGTCTTAACTGTATTTCTTTTGTCTCCCATGTTTGTGAAGATAACTGCAGTTTCAGAGGCATGGTAAATAACATATCAGTGTTCATGTAGTCTGTTCCCCAAATGGCTATAGATACAATATCCAGAAAAGAACAAAATTCAAGCTTTAGAAAACATTCTGAGATCTCACGCATGCGGTTTTGACATATCTGAAAATAGGTTTTTGTATATTTATGGTGGGAGGTGGTTGGGAACTTTTGACAAAATGTGGGATGTTAATTTTTGTACAGTCTGTGGGCATTTACACATATTTTTAATGTAATAAAATCTGGTAATTATGTGCACATTAAATTAATAAGATAGTTACTTCCTGTTATGATTTGTGAATTCCCTAAGACTTTGGATTTTTTTTAAGTAACTTTATATCAGAAATGATACTGCATCTTTATATTTTTTAAAATGTATTGCTGCTCAAGAATGGTACCCTGATGTCAAAAAGGCATACATTCATAATTGTACATTCAGCACTGTAAATAACCTTATGAAATCTTTTTTTGGATTGAAGCTATTCAAAATAAAAATTTAAATGAATGAAATAACATTTTTTTTTCTGTGTCTTTATACATTTGTTTGCCTTTTGGCCAAATACTGCCCTTCTGGATTTATTTTTCTACTTCATAACTTTGCACTTCCTTTTTTTAACTTTGGGTTTTTGAAGGGAATAAATACCACATCCCACATAGATATCACATCTTATGTGTGACCATCCCATGGAAACCCGTTCATTAGTCAGATACCCTGTAGAGCCAAATGTTAAGTGTAAGGAGGTCTAAGGGAAATTGTGAAATGTTAAGACTAGAGGCTTATAATCTACTAACAGTTGGGAAGATCAAACGCAGAGCTAATGCCATGTAACACATTGTAAGTTTGAAGTGAAGTGGCAGCCGTGGGTGCAAAAGGAGCACTCCCAAGGAGAGAAAAACTGTGGAACTAACCACTGGTCCTAGAAACCCCTGAGAAGGCAGGACTTTGTGTTGCCTTTGTGCTGGGGTGAGAGGTCCTTCTGGGTATCATGGGTCCTACAGGAGGCGTGCTTCCTCTGCTGTGGCCTATGTGGCTGGCTGTGGTGGGATGGATTGGGTGGTGTTAGAGTCCCAAGTTCTTCCCATACACAGAGGTTTGTGTAACAGAAGTGGTGGGGGCACAGTTCTGCGTGTCTCTCTCTCCCCCGCATGTCACTGCCAGGTGCGGTGTTTCGAGTATGTATTGCAGGGAAGGATGGAGTTGGAGGAGTTTGGATGAGACCGTCACCGTTCAGAGTTGGAGTTGTGACTGCTCTGTGAGTGCACAGAGGTCCCTCCAGTGCCCTGGCCTCGGAGTCTCCCCCTCACTGAAGAGAAAAGCATGTCTCATCCAGGCACTCAGCTCTGCTTTGGAAAGGCCAAACCTCAGAAGCCGGGGTGACTTTTGTACAGAAGTTGCCTCTTAGCATAGCAGATTTCTAACCTGCTATGTGAATCCAAAATTCAAAGGACACAAAAACACGGGAGCCATCGACTGCATTGTTCAAAATACTTCTCAACACCTCATCCAGTTTTTCAGCAAATGGACTCAACAGTGTTCCTCTACTGACTGCAAGTTCCATACCCTTCTGGGCATTCAGAATGTCCTGCTCTTTTCAAAGAATAAAAGTTGGAGGTCCTTCTGATCGGAGTGCTTCCTGGGGAAATAGGCCACAGGAGCTTACAAGAATCTGACATGAAGTTTTCCTCTGATTTAAAATCTACACAAATAGAATCCCATCATATATGTATGCTCTGCTGTCCTTGTTTTACATCGGTCTGTGAATCGAAGATGTCAGCATCTGTAGCTCATTCATTCTTTTTAAAGTCCACAAGCCATCCCACTGCATAAATGTTTCATAATTTCGATGACAACTTCCCTGTTGATGGCCATTTTGGTTTTCTTGTTCTTTTTTCTTTTCTACTACACACAACTCTGCAGTGTTTTTGTGCACGGTTATTTTTAAGTATGCTCCAAACCTAATGGGTTTGAACTCCTAACCCTGAGATCAAGAGTTGGGTGCTCTACTGACTGAATCCCCAGGTGCCCCATTTTGTGAACAAATGTTAATGAGCTTAGACATAGGATGCATTTTTAGCAGTGGACCTGCTGGACAAAGGATATGTGTATTTTTAATTTGGTTGATGCTGCTAAATTTTCCCCCACAAGTTTGCTCCAATGTATAGTCCACCATTGTAGTATGAAAATGTTTCTTCACACTTCTTAAAGTGCTGGGTATTTTCAGGCTTTAAACATTAAAAGGTTATTTTAGTATGGTGTTGGTGCGGGGATTATCAAATAGCCTGGAAACAGACCCACACATTCATGAGATGTTGGCTCATGACTGTGCTGACATTTTAGCTCTGCAGGAAGAAGGGATTTGATTATATATATATATAAATGGGGCTAAGACAGCTGGTGATCTTAATGGAAAAAAATAAAATTGGACTCTACTCACACACATCATACACAAATATCAGTTCAATATGGATTAAAGGACCTAAAAACAAAGGACAAAACTATAAAACTCAGTAAGGCATTATAGGAGAACTTTTTTCTTTTTACCCGGGAGGAGGATTTATTTCGATAGAAAAAACAAAAATCGTAGAAGATTGATAACTTTGTCTATATTAAGACTTATGTCCATCAAAAGACATCATGAAGAAGATGAAAAGGCAAACCACAAACTAGTTGAAGATATTTGACATCTATAACTGACAAAGGATTAGCATCCAGAATACATAAAGAATGCCTACAATTCAGTTTTTTAAAAGACATACATATTTTGCATATAGGAAAATGAGCAAAAGAAGCCAACATTTCTGAGAAGATGAAGCAGAAGTGGGCATTAAAAATAACGAAAAGATGCTCAAGTTCATGAAATGGGGGAAATGAAAAAACCACACTGACAAAATGACTTCATGTGAATGGTAAAAATTAAATTTAAAAAATCAATTCCAAGTATGGGCAGAGCTGTGAGGCGCAGGAACTGTCATCCACTGTAGGTGGCGCCATACATTGGTACAGCTACTTTGGAAAGCCGCTGGACATTTCCTAACACCCTTCAACCCTGTGGTGCCATTTCCGGACATATTCGAGGACGTTTTTAGCCTTGTTATTCCTCAAACGGGGAAAGGGGAACTGGAATAGAGAATTGGGGCAATGTGGTGGGAGAAGGAAGACTCGAAGGAAATGTGGTCCATCCGGGGGTATGGCTGCCACAGTGATCCAACTGTGTCACTAAGCTATCCTGGCATCACAGTCATAGTGTGCCATTTTATGGAGAAACTTCTCTCTCTTCTGCTCTTATCATTCAGCTTGGACAGTAGGATTTAAGTTACAGAGGGCCTCTTTTTCAGTTTGAAGCTTGCTTTCATTAAAAACCAGAATATGTCCTCTGAGATAGGGTCCTTTCCATGACTTTTATTCTGGTAAAGTCTTTATCCTCAGGATGCAAGGACATTTCCCTCTTCCTTTAGAAAGTGCTGAATCACCCGCGAAGCCCTGAGCCGTTCAGTTGCTTTCGGGTACAGCACCATTTCAGGTAAGGTCAAATACTTTAAAAATTACTTTGGGCAACTGAGAGCTTGGTTAGTCTGTATGTGCATACATAATAAAATTTTGTACAAGAAATGATTTGTGTAAAATTACACTTGGGAAACCTTGTTTTGGCAGATTAGCATTACTGTGTATATTTCATATGTAATTCAATGCCACGAGTTAAGCGTCTTAGACATGATAGCTCCTTATTTATGACACAATCAGAAATACTATTCTCAAATTCTAGCTCTGTGGCCGTGGTTAAGTTACTTACTCTTTCTGTGCCTTAGTTTCATCATCCATTAACCAGGGTTAAGAATAGGATCTACCTCATAGGGTTATTGTAAAGATTGAATGAATTAATGTAAATAAAACGCTGAGAACAACAAATGGCAAAAAGTGATAGGTATTCCCTGTTTTTCTCACTGTGGCTAACAGAAGGGGTTCGCTCTTTGAGGGTGTTACTGTTTTTGTAGAGTAAGTACTGTGCCTATAGCATGACTGTGGTGAAAGGAATCAGGTGGTGGTTGCTGTTGTTTTTCCAGACTTTGCTGTTAACGTCCTGACTATTGGTTATAGCCACCGCTGGGCAGAGGCAAGAAGAGCAGGGCTCCCCTCACCGTGGGCACTGCTCAGTGATGTCTGTGAGCTTCGATGCTCGAATGATTGTTTTCATTAGTTGTATGTAAAGATTTTAAAGTACTGGCTTTTTTTTTTTTTAAGATTTTATTTATTTATTCATGAGAGGCAGAGGCAGAGGGAGAAGCAGGCTCCCCGCGGAGCAGAGAGCCCGATGCGGGACTCGATCCCAGGACCCTGGGATCATGACCTGAGCCGAAGGCAGACGCTTAACCGACAGAGCCACCCAGGTGTCCCTAAAGTACTATAGCTTGAAGACGCTTTAATTTCAGTGCTTTAACCTGAGTAGAAAATCAGTAGAACAAAAGAATGAGACCTCTAAGTGTAGAACCAATGTCTTTTCGCCACCGGGGGCAATCTGCACTCCTGGGAAAAGAGGGATAATAGTCAAAGTCCTTGATAATCCTGGCGAAAGGCTCCGGCCTCTGCAGGGTTACCAGATCGAATCCGAGCGTTCGCCCTGGCGTGGCGCCTACAGACCTCCCGCTGTTGCCTTTTCAGACATGCTGAGGAGCACCCTGCTGTGCGCGGCGCTGGGGCTCCTGCGCGCCCAGCCTTTCCCCTGCCCCCCGGCCTGCAAGTGTGTGTTCCGGGACGCCGCGCAGTGCTCCGGGGGCGACGTGGCGCGCCTCGCCGAGCTCGGCCTGCCCGCCAACCTCACGCACATCCTGCTCTTCCGAATGGGCCACGGCGCCTTGCAGAACCACAGCTTCAGCGGCATGACGGTCCTGCAGCGCCTGATGCTGTCCGACAGCCACATTGTCGCCATTGCCCCTGGCACCTTCCACGACCTGATAAAACTTAAAACCCTGAGGCTGTCGCGCAACAAGATCACGCATCTGCCGGCCGCGCTGTTGGATAAGATGGTGCTCCTGGAACAGTTGTTTCTGGACCGCAACGAACTGAAGGACATCGACCAAAACATGTTTCAGAAACTGGTTAACCTGCAGGAGCTCTTTTTGAACCAAAACCAGCTTGCTTTCCTTCCCGCTCGCCTCTTCACAAATCTGGGGAACCTGAAACTGCTGGATTTGTCGGGAAACAATCTGACCCACCTGCCCCAGGGATTGCTCGGGACACAGGCTAAGCTTGAGAAGCTCGTGCTCCACTCGAACCAGCTCGTCTCTCTGGATGCGGGGCTGCTGAGTCGCCTGCGCGCCCTGAAGGAGCTGCAGCTGGACCGAAATCACATCCGTTCCATCGCACCGGGAGCCTTCGACCCGCTCCGGAGCCTGAGCCACTTGACTCTCTCCAGAAACCACCTGGAGTTTCTGCCCTCCGCACTCTTTCTTTATTCGCATAATTTGACATTCCTGACGCTGTTCGAGAACCCGCTGGAAGAGCTGCCGGAGGTGCTCTTCGGGAAGCTGGCCGGCCTGCGGGAGCTGTGGCTGAACCGCACCCGGCTGCGCACCTTGCCCGCCACCGCCTTGCGCGCCCTGAGCGGCCTGCGGGAGTTCGGCCTGACCCTGAGCCCGCGTCTGAGCGCGCTCCCCGAGGACGCCTTCCGGGGCCTGGCCTCGCTCCAGGTGCTCGCCCTGCACTCCAACGGCCTGGCCGCGCTCCCCGGCGCCTTGCTGCGCGGCCTCGACGGGCTGCGCCGCGTCTCGCTGCGCCACAACCGGTTGCGGGCCCTGCCGCACGCGCTCTTCCGCCACCTCCGCAGCTTGGAGCGTGTCGAGCTCGAGCACAACCAGCTGGAGGCCCTGGCCGGCGACGCGTTTGCGGATCTGCCCCGGCTGGCGGAGGTCCTGCTGGGGCACAATCCCTGGCGCTGCGACTGCGGCCTGCGGCCCTTCCTGGCGTGGCTGCGGCGGCACCCGGGCCTCGTGGGCCGAGCCGAGCCCCCGCGG